TATCTATCTAATTAATCTTATCTAATAAGAATATTCATGTCTAAAACTTCAAATTTATTGGTTCATTTTAGTTAATTGGCTGATGATTTAACTAGTTGATGAGATGGGAAACTGCATGACATGTACTATTAAATGGTGTATATTAAAGTTCTTTATTGATATGGCGTACTTATATATTCAGAAAATTTTCCATCCAATATTGAAACATAGATTCCAGAATTTGGGATGAAAAAATGAGAAAAAAAGCAATTATTTTGATTATTTTAGTAGCCTCAATTAAGTTCTGTTATATTCTATTAAAACACAGAACTTGCCACCTAAAATTTCCAACAAAATCACATAAATAAATTTAGATATGAGTGATGATATTTCTTGTGGTTTTATATATAAGTAATCTATGCTTACTATTGAGAATAAGAAATAAAAAATAACTTTGCTTTACACATGTACGTGTGAGGAGTATTTATGCCTCTAAGTAGAATTGCTTGAGGATGTTTTGATAATTTACCACTGATAAAGCACATGATGAGAATGAATCTGTATTCCAACCTTGGAATAAGTTCAGCATTCCTCTTATTATTGGTACTTTTACTTAAACTTATTCAAATATTCTTGTCAATTTTCTTCTACTAAATTTTGTCAAATAAGAAGAAAAGGACTTGTTAATATAATTTTATTTTATATTTTCAGAAATAGAAACAGAAGCCATCTAATTGTTTCATTTTTCTATACTATCAAAAATGCAAAAGAATGAATTTGCTTATTTTCTAATTCCAATAAACTTGGCTTATAGGAACAAACATGGCTTATAGTCAAGCTCGAGCTGAGCCAATCAGCATAATTTAAAATGTGTATAGGAACAAACATCATTCATTATTTCCTGAAAATTGTATAAAATAATTTTAATAATTTTTGTTCTCTCTAGAAATTTAGTTAAATTGTTTTTTTTTTTTTGGGGGGGGGGGGAGTAGGGGTGGTTTCGAGCTGAGCTTGATTCGAGCTAGAGACTTGAGCTCGAACTCGACTCGGTTCATAGCTCGCAAGTTCGAGATCGGTTCAGCTCGAGCTTGACTATAAGCCAAGTTTTTTTAATAAAAATTATTTTTTTATTTTTTAGATAAAAAATTATTTATTATTAAACATAAAAATAAAAATATTATATTAATAAAAATATTATTATATATATAATAAAATTATTTATTATATATATTTATGTATGTATGTATATAATAAAAATTATTTATTTAATACTAGCCTCACGAGCCGAGCTTTACTAGGCTCGATTAGCAAACAAGGATATATATCAGGCTCAAATTCGGCTTGATCAATTTAAACCGAGCTTAACCAAGCTTTTCACGAGCCCTGCTCGAATAGCTCGTGAAAGACTCGACTTGTGGCCACCCCTAGGGAGGATCATTGAACCCAATTTTTATTTTATTTTATTTTTTGACATTGCACAAATAATAAAAACCACATTTTATATACACAAAACATACACCTTGTTATAAAAACCACCCACCATTAGATTTCAACCCAATCCAAAGGTTGTGTAAAAATCAGAAAACTTTAATATTTTCCACATAAAGGATCAATATTATAAATCCATACTATACGTTCTAGGAGCTAACTTTGTCTACATTCTTGGTCCTAAGAAATGGATGCATGAATAACTCAAATATTGTTAAATTGAAATATTAAAAATTTGAACATAGTTTGTTTATATGCCTAAAATTTGGCACAATATAAGCTAACCTGTTATTCGAATTCTTTAATATAAATTTCATTGCATTTCGAAAAGAAAATATTAAATCATAAGTTGAGTAAACAAAGTTTTTGCCTTATAAAAAAATTGAGAGGAAACCCTTTTCTCTTTTTTACAGAACTATCATAATAATATAGATAGGGTGAAACTTTTACAAAGTTCAAGATATCATCTGAGATAGATGAGTTTATCTCGCCCTTTTGTTTTATTCTATTTTATTTTTCTATGCTGATCATACACAGAAAAAGTGAAATATATATGAACCCATTTTTGGCTGCCACTTCAGCCACCATATTCAAATAAATATGTATAAATAGGATCTCAAATATTACTCTAGTCAGGACTCAATGGTAAATAATGCAACAAGAAGCACCATGCAATAATAAAATCACTATAAAATATCATCACAAGAAGTTGAAAAGTATCATAAGCAATCCCAAGAAAATCAAGATGCACTATTCAATTAATATCAACCTATGGACATTTAATTTGATCAATATGAAATGTACAGAATGACCATCCTCATTCATTCACATTTTCCAAAATACCACAGGGTGTCCCTCCTTGATTCCTTCTAAGCAAATATTTCACAAGAAAGAGAAAATAAGAAAAGAAACCTTTTGTAGTGGAAAAGAAAGAATTTGGTGTGGGGAAAGAACCTACAAAGAAAATGTAACAACACACACTTCTCTTTTTTAGTAAGGCTTCCATCTGATTTATACCTAGACCCCACGTGGCATCACTAAAAATCCAGGTTCGTGTACACACTAGACAGAGAAAGTGGGTGACATGGAACCAACCAATAGGATTCCAAAGTGGCATTTATGCCCTCTACCGTATAATACAAGCACATAAATTCGGGTAAGCAAAGAGGCCAAACGCCAAACAACCAAACGACAGATCAGATGGCAAGAGAGAGAGAGAGACGTGGGTGTGAAATGCGGGAATCCATGGACTGGTCACGTAAGCCAAAACAGAAGCTATCTGATCTGACTCCTCACTCCTCAGCATCGGCTGCTCTTCCAATTACAACTGTTCATTCCTCAACAGTCAACACTAGCTACCTCTTACAAAATTTCAACTATTACCATAAAGGGAAAACCCCACTTTACCCTCTTTACTCCTGCCCATTTGCCTTCAAAATTCAAATAAAATGAAAAGTGTAGTGCTTTAATAACTGTTGTCTTCTTAAAAATTTTCTAGAGTACAATTGCTGCATTTGGGAGTATGTTTTCGCTAAACACAAGGTTTTAAAAACTGAACTGGATATAGAACCGTTTTGGAGACTGGTTTCTGGGTCGAGTGATCGGACTATCTGGTTTTGAATGAATAACCCATTCTGATTTACAAAAATAAAAAAAAAATTAAAATGAAAAATGGCTAAAAACCACTTTCTAACTACGTTGATGGGTCGATGGTTCCACAACCCAGGTCATTGGGTCGCTGATCAAATCAATGATTTTGGCTTAAAAACAGTTTTAAGATGAAACAAAACCAGTTGCCTGACCCGTTCTTGGGTCAACCAATCCGGTTTTCAAAACCATGCTTTTTGGTAGGAGTGTGACTTGGGTTGGCCCAATTTAACATTTTACACTACTTAAGGTTTGGGCTTCGAACCGGGTTCATTCAAATTTTGGATTAAAAAAAAAGAAACTCAACCCGAGCCCCACACAAGTTACAGTCTAGCTTTTCGGTATCATATTTAGGGTGCAAAAGTTGGCGCAAGTTTACATTTTATACTACTTTGAACTAAGCCCGTTTAAATTTTTACAAAAGCCCAACTCAACCCCCCCTCCCCCCCGGCAATGCAGAATGCCGGTTTCAAGTTTTTTTTTTTTTTTTTTTTTTCACCAGAAAATATGATTTTCTGACTAACTTTTGACTTCAACCAAGGACAGGGACCTATTTCCTGCATATTGCACTATTCATTAAGACATTTATTTATAATGCCCAAAAATATGAAAATATATCATAATTAAATAACTTCACAAGTTGGCGAGTTATTTAAATTAGCCTCGTAAAAATTTGTCAAATATCAGATAATAGTCTAGCTGGAATTGACCTACATTACAGAAAACTTTCCTCAATACACTTAGAATTCATTACTCTCCTCTTAAATTTTTGTAACCTAAAAAAAAATCCATAATATCTAAAGAGTATTTTGAGGAAAATATGAATGCCAAAAGGCCCAAAACTGTTTTTTTACAAGGTTTTATTAGCCTAAGGTAATCTGGGATATTATATTCAAAAGAAGTCCACAATGTTTCACGCAGTAAGAGGAGAATACCATCTATAACCCTCATAATATACGATAGGTTAAGGGTCAAATCAAGGAGTCCACACAATTGTGGAAATTCCTGGGTGTGCATTGTCACTCATGCCAAACAAAAGTACCTTTGGGACTCCTTTGCCTTTTTCTTTTTGCATTTTATTTGAAAACCCTAATTCTAATTCCTTCAACATCGAAAGCCTAGTCCCATTTACATGGAGCTGGTTATATATATATATATATATATATATATATGAATCCTCTCTCACCCATTTCATTCTGGTCAGTTTTATCCATCGTTAATTTGAGCCCTTAAATCATTTCTTGCTACTTGAATAGCCCTATTCCATTGAACTGAGTTCAAACTATAATACTAATCAAGAGATTGATGTGAAGACAAGAAGAAGAAATTAGGTGTTTGTGATATGAACCATGCTTTGAAGCAAGCTTTTACACTTGACATTAGCCTTCTACTTGTATCAACCTTCAAGAAGAAGAAAACTATCATAGCAAGCGAGCTCAAGTGAATTGAATGTTCTCAAAATAAGCTTCTTCAACACAATACTAATACTGTTATAAACAAGATCCAGAATTGAATGAAGATGAAGATGGTGAAACCTCCAAACCCCATTATAGAATTTCAAATCAATTAATCAAATGAGTGACGAAATCAATCGACCCCGCTGTCCCTTTCTCATTCCCATAAATTCCTTCCCCGAATCATTGCTGCTCCTCTCATCACGCAAGCACCTCTCTCTCTGAGTTAAGGGCCCTTTGCTCGGATAAGTTTCACATTAAAATAAGAAAAAAAAATATAGCTTTCTTTAGAGAATTTTTAGGAAAACAAGAAAAGAAAAGAGAAAGAAAAACCAGTATTGGAGTATTTTTGCCTAGACCCACTCTCAAGAAACAGCCTCCTCCCAATGACGACATCCACACCCAACTTTTTCTCCCTATAAATTCCCATCAACCCATCTCATTTCTCCATCGATCCATTCAGACTTTCCTCAGCTTTCTCTCTATCCATCTCACAATTCTTCTCTCAGCATCCCTGAAATTTGTTTGAGAGATCAAACACTCCAGAAAAGAAAATGAGGACAGGTGGTACCTTCGGCACAACAACCACAGTAGCTACTGGATCCACGGCCACGGCAGCAGCACCTGCGTCTGCGGCAGCCGCAGCGGGCCAGCACTCGCCATGGCACTCTCCGGTGCCGTACCTTTTCGGGGGCTTGGCAGCTATGTTGGGTCTCATAGCTTTTGCTCTATTGATCCTCGCCTGTTCCTACTGGAAACTTTCCGGGCAGATGGAGGGGGGAGAAGGCAGTGAGAGAGATCCCGAGAACGGGAATGACAAAGCTGGTGAAGCCATGAAAATTCCAACTGCGTTTGAAGAGAAGATTTTGGTGATCATGGCTGGCGATGAGAAGCCAACCTTCTTGGCAACACCCATTTCGAGCAAGGCTTCTGCATTCGGAGATAATAGTAAAAACAAGGATGATAACAACAGAATCACCCCAGATAGCGAGAAACCAGAGAATACCGAGAAAGCCAAGGCAAGCAACCAGGACGAGAACCAGGAGGAGAACCAGGATCAAGAGAGAGCAAACAGAGAGACACAAGAGCAGAGTCAGTGAGCTTTGCTCCAATTTTTCTTTTTTTATCACAGAAATGACGATGCTTGGTGTGGAAAGCTCGTATTTCAGGTTTTGGTTTGGTTTCTGAATATGAGCAGAGTGTTTTGATGGGGTATGAGCTCTCCTTAGAGGGAAGAGGAGGAGAGATTATAGTTTGTAAATTTTCTTTTCATTTTCTTCTTCTTCTTCTTTTCCCTTTTATAAAACTCTTCCGGGAATGTAAATTTGTGAGAAGAAATGATAGATAGCTCGTTTCATAAATCTTCTTCTTCTGGTTAATGTTTTAAGTTCAGACTTCAGAGATCTGAACTTTTCCAGAAAATCTGCGAAAATATACTACGGATTTCTTGTATAGTTCTAGTTTTCAGTAAAAACAGAAACTTGTCTGTTCCTCGCTAATTAAAACAGAAGAGAGGAGGGCTTGACACTCTGCAGAAGCCATTTGATTGAACCATTCAGCTGGGCAGGTTTATCTCTTACAATGAAAGTTAAAGGCCCAGAGTTGTGGCAATGGTTCAGATGAATCCAACTGCTGTTTGGAGTTGGAGAATGGAGATGGGTCAAAAAATAACTGTTGAAATATGAAAACTAAATTATCAACAGTACAATACAAGTTACGAGAGATAAAAAAAAAAAAAAAAAAAACAAAGAAGCGACACCTGTATGTTAATTGTTAAGCTCAGGAGTCAGGATGTGGCGAGACGAGACCGCGAAGATCTGCACGAGTTTTTGCTAAGGTAACGGTTTTGTTTAGGTGATTGTCAGAATTCAGGGGAGGTCTATTTAATTTATCTTTTATATTGTTTTTTAGATTTTAATTTAAAGATTAATTTCATTTCATTTCATTAACCTCCTTTTTTTTTAAAAAAAAAATCTGCTTTTAACGTCCCCGAGGAATTTGGGGAAGTTTTTCGAAATAAAAAACAAACTACAGAGGAATCGGGGTTAGAGGTGCAACTTGGGCGGGCCCAATCCGAACTGGGCTTGGAGTTTCGGTCCTTAATTGAGCTTGATCTGGGGCCTTAAGCTGGATTGGGTCCGGATTGACCATAAATCAGACCCAACCCGCTCGACTTTCACCCCTAAGCAAGGTGCAAGTAAAGTCTACAGACCAAAAACCCTGTTCAAGGGCCCGAGCCTGGCCCTTGAAGTCCGGTCCAGATAAAAGGTGTTACTTATAATATAATTTAATAAATTAATATATATATATATATATATTTATATATAGATGTTATATTTATTATATTTAACATTATTAGGCCAGGATTTTTTTTGACAAAAACCAAGCACATGGGCCTAAAATTGTCCACGACCGACAAAGAGAAGAACGAGCTGAGCTGGGCCGGCCCTTTAGTCTACCGGGCCCAAAAACACATTTCATATATTCAGGAACTTGGTGAAATTATTTGAAAATATAAGGAAGATTATTGATATTTACCCTTAGTGAGTTAATTGTAATTAATTTCTAATCACTTTATTTTTTCTTTGAATAACTAGTTTCTTTATTCTTACCTCTCATCCTTAGCCTCTCTCTAATGTCTGAACAGAGTTGGGACCTACAATAGCCTGAACAGTCATCAGCAATGTCGATTGTCGAGTACTGGAGTCTCTCTCTCTCTCTCTCTCCTTGTTGTTTTAGATAAGATTAGATCAGGTGGAAAGTGGCAGTACTGGAGAAGTACTAGATGGAAATGAGGTATAGGAAGAATAAAAACAGTGGGTATGCCGTATGCATCTGCTTCCAAATTTCTTTCTTTTCTGGAGATACAAGTGGTGGGTGACTGTAGAAAAGGAAGGAAGGATAGTTGGGACTTGGAAGTTGGAACGTACGCGGCGACGATGAGAGAGTCTTCTACATTTTCATCCTTTACTTGTCTTAAATCTTCCACTCAAACCCTGTGGGGCTATTATGTACTGCAGCTAAAGGCTAAAGCCACTTTGTGCATTTGCAATGTTTCCCATTTTTGTATTCTCTTAAATTTTCTTCTCTCTTGTTAATCATGCTTTCATCTCTTTCTCTTCTTTTCATCAAAAAGCCGTACTATAATTAAAAGTAAAAGCAAGAAAAGATGCCTTCTACTTTGTTGTGGGATGGGTTCAATTGAAGAAATTAGGGTTTGTTGTAGCAATTAAAATGAAAACCGTTCATTAATTGGATTTACATGAATAACTTGGTCATTGGATTGCAGAAATGCCCTAAAAAAAGGCTAATAATTAAGTTGATGACATAGAAGCTAGAATACCAAGCAACATAGAAGAATAATATCTTATATCAGCTGGTGGCAAATTAGTAATGGTTTGTTGAATCAAATAAAACTCGGATCCAACCCATTTCAGGAAATGGGTAAATGGCCTTTTCTATAGAGGGTTAGGCTGTATTTGGTTAAAATGCACATATGAACACTAGATTGTTAATCCAAAAAAGAGAAAAGTCCTAAAAATAAAGAATGCCAAATACAGGCTTAATGGGAGTGTTTAAAGTGGTCAATTTCTGTCCTTGGGTGTTATGGGCTAATGGTAATGGCTTAGAATTATATCAAGAGCTTTCTTTGTGACGCTGGTCCGTGACAAAGAAGTCACAATGCAAGAGGTAGATTATTGGGCCTACGGAAAGACCAGCTGTCTTTAGTGCTTCAATCTCTTAAACTTTTGCACAAAGAGTGGTTGGGCCCCTTAAATAATTCAGATTTAACGTTTTGTGAAATGGACTTGAGTTAGGTGTAAATCGGGCTACGCTGCCCATGGGCGCGCTACGATGGTTTGGGGCCCTAAATGACTTAAATGTATCGAATACATATAAACAATTAATTTAGGGGCATTTTTGTATTTAGCCATTAGAAACCCTAAATTTGAGAAGGACATGATACTTTAATGACTTCATCTAATGGAATACCAAAAGATCAAAATGATGGTCATGATTCATGAAGGAGATGGAATTGAAAACCCAATAAATGTACAAAAATTTTAATATTATTGTAAATTTTGATTTCCAATTTCATTTGTAATTTGTAATCTAAAACATTTTTATTTTTTTAATTCTATTTTATTATTTCATATATGAACCATTGTATACATTAAAATTCATATGGAATAAATTTTTTAAGATTTTTTTTTTTTGTAATTTATTATCTTGTCGTGTCAACATGGCCCACAACAGTAGTCGTCATGAGACATGCAGGTGGTATGACAAAAGTGGGCCAGCATGGCCCACATCACACCCCTACTGTGGTTCAGTTTGAGGAATTAATAAGAGTTAGCTTCATTTTCCATTTTATCATCATTTCTTAATTAATATAGAATTTGAAAGAAAATCCATGCTCAACAAGATATGGGTATCTCATCACACATTGTTGGTGAGTAGGATCTTTAATTGAAACATTTATATTATATTATAAAAAGGTTTCAGTTGGAATGGGAATTAGAATCGGAATGGTTTTTCAAATAATTGGAATTGGAATAACCCATTTCAATTTCGATTTCAGACCCCTATTCGTGTGAATCAAACGAGCCCTTAGATTTTTAAAACATTTATTAACTAAGATAAGATTTTTAAAACATTTATTAACTAAGATACCCCTCGTTTTAAATTTGGTTCCTCTCTTTTATGAGGATAGAAAATCTAATTTGAATACCAGTATTTAATTCATTCAATTTCCTCTAATTAAGACTCATATTAAAGGTATATTCTCTCTCAATCCTATATTTAAGGTTTTATTTCTCATCATTAAATTCCTTTGACTAAACTATTTGGATCAAGTGGATCAAATCATTATGCCACAATTAGATAATATAAGTTTTGCAAATAGATAAATATATAAAAAAAATACAAAAGCTAAAGAAAATTTTGTAGAAAAATTTGGCTTCATCTCTAATAATATGCACTCATTATATTAAACAAAAAATAAGTATGATGAACAAGAATTACTTTTATTAATGATGACAATGAACTAATTTAAAATCGACCAAACATGAAACCATTTTCCCATCTAGTTGGTGGATCAATGGTCCTCCATTTAGGTCAAATGGATCAGCCCATAATGTCAAAGTTAAAAAGAAAACTTTAAAAATAAAAAAAAAACAAAAATAAAAAAATATTTTTGGGCACATATCTAATATTATATATTAATTATATTAAACAAAAATAAGTGTAATAAACAAAAATTATTTTATCAATAATGTAAATGAAATACAAAATTTAAATCAAACGTCAAACCATTTTTGTATATAGGTGGTGAGTCAATRGTCTATTCTTCCAAGTCAAATGGATTAACTTGTGATGTCATAATTAAGTAATAAGCATTTAAAGAGGATACAAAACAAAAATGCTAAAATTTTGTAGAAAATATTCGAGATACATCTATGATGTTATATATTCGTCTTAATAAACAAAAGTAAATGTGAAAATAAAAATTTACTTTTATTACTAATCAGGAACATTCCCTTCTAGAAAATATAAAAGTTTATAGAAAAGGTAGGGTACATGTCTAATATTATATATTCATTGTATTAAAAAAGCAAGTGTGATAAAAAGAACTAGGAAATAAAAGATAATTTATATCTAATTCATAATTAGAGGCGGCCTGCACTTCGGGCTGGCATGGCATGGCTTGTGGAAGGCCTACACAAAGTGTGGGCCATGCTGTACCGGCCCACAGGCTGTGCCGCCCTCCCTTGTGATAACTTGGGGGTCAGCCCGACCAGGCCCATGACCCAAGCCCGTGCCATGACGTGCTACGGGCCGGGCTGGTCCACGGGCCAAGCCTTGGGGCAGGCCAGGCCATGGACTGGGCCAAAGCTATTTACTTAAAAAATTTGAAGAAAACATAAAATTTTAATTTTATATGAACTTTGATGTATACAATTGTTTATATATACAATAATTAAATAAATTGATATAATAAAATTGAAAATGGTTGTTTATCTTATTATTATATTATATACAATATATTATTAATATAATATAAATAATATATATGGGTCGTGCCGGCACGCGGGTTGCAGGCAATGGCTTGCTCAGTTATGTCATGCCAGCTTGGCCCGCGGACCTAAAACTCCAAGCCTAGCACAGCCTACGTATCGTCGTGCCAGGTCATGGCGGGCTGGTCCAAAGTCAGGACAAAATAGTTAGACGACATCTTAGTACCACGTAAGCAAACCTCAGGAGCACCTCGAACACCTCACACACGCCCTGACGACCTCGACACTACCTCAACAAACCAAAATGCGAATGGCCCGACAAGACATCAGGTCAGCGTAAGAGGCGACCTGCTTCCGCTGACCTGAACCAAGTTCAGCTAGCAACCTGCCTGGTGTGTTGGGTGACCTCCTCCAGGTTATCGCCTCCAACTTCATTG